GTTTGAATACCCCGGGGGGGGGGGTCCTAAAAGGTTAGGGGAGCAAGGGTCTTGTAACTTGACAGCTTTAAGACTTGTGTGCTTCAAATGCCAGAGTTTCTGAACCAACATTTTGGTTGCTAAGCAAGAGCATTGTTAAGTGAGTTTCACTACATTTTACAAGTTGGCCATGCCCACCCAGTCATGTGGCTGGCAAGCCACTCCCACAAAGGCCACACCTACAGAAGAGGTTCTAAAAAAATTGAAACCCATCACTGGTATATACATATTACATAGTATAGGATGTGTATGAGCACACAAAAAATACATTATCTACTATATATACTGTATATGTGTACACACATGCATGCGCGCACACACACATACACACACAAACAGTGTTCTTCTAAAACTATACGCATTCAAACTCACTTACTGCATTTGGAAAAACACACCCAGAATCCACTTTCTGCCACACATTTATCTATAACTTCTGTACATTAGAACATTACATACAGCTTACAATGTTCTTCCCTAGCTTGCAAATGACTGTTAGAGCCAGGAGATATCATGGATTGAGTAAAATGTAGTGAAACGCACTTAATAATGCTCTTGCTTAACAACCAAAATTTTGGGCTCAATTGTGGCAGTAAGTCAAGTTCTACCTCTGCCTTCCTCCGTATGGCAGCTTTGTCCTAATAAATTCCTTCTCTGTTCTGGCAATTACCCTCTGTATTAGAGGCATCAAAATATCCAGACATTATAAGCCCTAGATTGCTGTGCGATTTCAAAATAACTTACGAAGCCACGTCTAGTGCCAGGATTTGTTCCTCTCTGTCTCTGTCTCTCTGTCTGTCTGTCTGTCTGTCTCTCTCCCTCCCTCCCTCCCTCCTTTCCTCTTTCTTTCTTTCTTTTTTTCTTTCTCTGTCTCTATTTCAAGAGTCTTTACTTTCTCAAGTTGAGAGGAGCCATTACATCTCTCCCTTCCTTCCTTCCTTCCTTCCTTCCTTCCTTCCTTCCTTCCTTCCTTCCTTCCTTCCTTCCTTGCCTGTTTCTTTTCTCATCTCTTTTCTCTCTTCCTCCCTCCCTCCCTCCCTCCCTTTCTCTTTCTTTTTTTGTCTTTCTTTGTCTCTTTCTTTTCCCCCCTTCCCTTTTCTTTCCCTCTTTTTCCCTTTCTTTGTCTCTTCTCTCTCTCACTCCTCCCTCTCTTCCCTTCCTTCTTCCCTTCCAGCTTCAAAGGCTAGGAGAGTGAGACATGCGAGGTGGGAGCCCGAGAGAAAGCACCTGGTCTGGGCACACAACCCTCCACAACAAAGTCCTTCCTGGGGAACAAAGCAAGAACTTAACAATATTGATCCTGATGGCGAGTTCTAGTGGCAGTGGGCAAAAGGCAATGCATATGCAGCAGTTGTGGGTTTCAAAAATTGTTTCTACCTATTCTGTGGGCATGGCCTATTTTGTGGGCGTGGCTTGGTGGCCATGTGACCGGCTTGATGTGGCCAACTTGTAAAATGTGAAACTCACTTAATAACGCTTTTGCTTAACAACCAAAATGTTGGCTCAGGAACTCTGGCATTTGAAGTGTGCATGTCTTAAAGCTATTGTTACAAGACTCTTGCACCTCTGACCCTTTAGAAAAAAAACCCCAGGGGTGTTTAAACTTGACAGCTTCTTTAGACTTGTGGACTTCAACTCCCAGAATTCCTCCTCCAGTCATGTTGGCTCAGGAATTCTGGCATTTGAAGTGTGCAGGACTTAAAGCTATCAAGACCCTTGCACCTCTAACCCTTCACAACCCCCCCGCAAAAAAAATACCCCTAAAACTTTATTTTTTAAAGCATTTTGCACCCGGGGAAAGTCGGAACAGCACACCACTGACTTTGAAGTCTTTCTCTCAAGCTGCCAAAACCCCTTGCTGCTCGTTCACCTGCAGTTGCCCCTTCAACTTCCCATCTATGGAGGATATGCAGTGGGCCTCGTGGAGGGGCAACCAAGGGGTACTTTCCCCCACGCCCAAGTAGGCTGAGTAATGTGAGAGGGGAGAGTGGAGCTGCTCTTTTTCCCCCCCGCTTCTTGGCCTGAAACAAAGCGGCGGCGTGGAAGGAGTCTTTGGTGGCTGCAGCAGCAGCAGAAGAAGCGGCTAAAACACAATCCTGGGCAGTCAGTTCCCGCTGTCCCTTCCCTGAGCATGTTCCGTTGCTGCTGCAATGGTGAATCCGCTTTTGATGAATCTGGCTTGGCGGTGATGGCAAGAAGCAGCTGCCAGCAATGCTCTCAGGGTGAAGACACGCTAAGCGCTCACCCCTTTCACACCCGCTGAGCCTTCTCCTAAGTTGGTGGAGACAGCGGTCATGCATGGGTTAACTCAGTCAGTAACCAATAGAACTGAGTCTACCAAAGTGATGTCATCNTCTCGTTTATATCTCTCATTTGAGTGATCTTTAAGATATGCCGATATTTTAGCCATCTGGGCTAAGTTTGTAACTTTTAATGTCCATTCTTGAGTTATAGGCAAGTCTTCCTTCTTCCAGTATTGGGCCATATCAACTATTTTTATGCTAAATGCTATGCCATGTGTAAGGTATTTAGAGAGAACCCTTATTCAGTAAGCATTCAATTACCACACTGCTGAACAAGAAGAATTATGGCCAATCCTTGATTTACAACTGTTACAAGCATCCCCATGGTCATAATTTCAGCTACTGGCAACTGGCTTGCTTTTATGATGTTTGCAGCATCCTAGGGTCTCATGGCCATCATTTGCAACTTCACTCTGAATTTCTGACAAGCAACATTAATAAAGTGACTGTGACATATTCCCTAATGACAGTGTGATTTGTTTAACCACAGTGACCGGAACTGCTCCTGTTTTAAGTTAGTGCTGTCACATGATATCACACTTCACTACCATGATGCTTAGAGCTAGAGTTGTTGGCCCCAATTACTGTCGTTGAAGTACCTATAATTAGTTTCTTGTTTTGTATCTTTGTATCTTTTCAAATAAATGCCCATTTCATTGTGAGAATCTGATATACAACGATGGTAATATAAATATATATATTTCTTGCTTTAAATTATCTGATTCTTAAGACTTTCTGGACAAATTCTTGCAGTTTTCTTGGCAAGATTTTTCAGAAATGGTTTGGTATTGCCTTTCTCCTAGGACTGAGAGAAAGTGATGGTTTCCCAGCTGTTCTTGTTTTCTAAGATGGGACTAGAAGTCACAGTCTCCCAGTTTTTAGCCTTCCTTAACCCCTATACTAAACTGGCTGTTAAGATTGTGTGATTTATGATACTTAAAGAAAAAATGATTTGAATATCATTTTTGAATATGGAGAAAAAACTCACTTGGATGTATTTAACTACATACTGTGTGCTTTTCAGTATTTTGAAAGATAGGGTGTATCAAAAGGAAAGTTCAGGAAAAAGCTTTTGCAGAGGCCATATGGATCATTCCACTTTATTTGGAGTTGTCTTTCTACAGCTTTTGTATATTGCTGTTTCAGTCACATAGGACAATGTAGAAATTTATATTACTAGTTAAAAAAAATATCAGTAAATCCTAACTGATGCCAGACTGTTGAATGGATAAATATTTTCCTCATGCAGGTATTATTACTGAAGCAACAATTGTATAGTAATGAGATAAACATTGAACTACCGAATCCAAATGTTCAAACTCAGTCAGAAGTTCAGAGTCCTGTAAAAAATCAGAATACAGAAAATACTTTGCAGTCAGCAGGTCCTGGTAAGTTCTTATCTTAAAAAAGAAAACACATAGCAATGGCTGCTTGTAATTTTAAAACTATTTTAGCAGAATTAAGGGTTTTTTTCCTTAATATTTCCTAGTGTATCAGCAAAAATTTTCACTTCCTGATTTCATTGATTCTGATTGCTTGAGAAAATTTCTACTTGCAGAGGGTGAATTTATTTTGTACAAACTAGAGGCTTGATTTTTGGAAGAAATTAACAGTGTAACTTTGAAATCGTAGTATATACTACCACATTTTCTTTTTTCATGTCTTTTGATTTTGTTACTTCTTTCTTTTCCTTTTTAACTTACTTTCTTTTTTTAGTTCTAGTTTTATATTTTGTTCGATAGAAAAGGAAAAAATAAAAGGTAAGAAGCAATAAAATGGGGAAAGAAATTGTAAAATGTGGTAAAATGTTATATTTATTTAGTAATCCTAAAAATTAACAGTGATTCTTTTTGGAATATCTGGGCTAAAATAAATATATATATTTTTAATTTCCAGCTAACAAGCCCAGCGTTTTAACCACTGAGCCACTGTGCCATCTTTGGCATAAATAATGCAGTAAATCAATTAATAATGAGACATAAATTTATCCAGAAATTTATACTATGTATTTAATTTATTGATTTCCAAAAAAACCCACAAGCGTGAAGCAAAATAATAGTAATAATAAAAATGGTAATAATAAAAATAGTAATACAAATAAAATCAAAAGTAATGCACATTAACAAAACTACATAATGAAGGAACATTGGAAAAAACTTTTAGCATAATTGATATTCTTCATAAGACTCTCTAAAACAGACCTGGTGTTTTATGGTTCCTGGGCCATATCTGGACTTTTGCATATCTCTGTCCGGCCTGTATAAATAAGATCAATTGGAAATTAGAAATTAAATATAAATAAGCATGCTGCAGGGGGCAGGAGGTTTGATATGGCTCTGCATAGTCACCATGCTTTTTTCAGTCAGCTGATGTCCATGGGTTGGTGAGGAAAGAAGCATTTTCTGTCCCTGTGCAGCACTTGCTCCTCATCTGAGTTGAGGTGATAGAATTGAGGACATTGGTTCAGGCCAGCCTCTCATGTAGCCCTTGAAAAAATTTATTGCCCACTGATGCTCTAAATTGAAAGCTAAACCTAAAATCTTAATGTCAGTCGTGATAGAGCAGAGCTTAGAAACATTACTAGAAATTTCCAACAGAAAATACAAAAGTATTTTTTTTAACTTTTGTAATATGCATTTTTTTTTAATGTTGTACGCTGCCCTGAGTCCTTGGGAGAAGGGCGGCATATAAATCCAATAAACTAAACTAAACTAAACTAAACTAAAAGTAAGATACAGATAGTTTCAATTTCTGTCCTGCCAGCACTGTCAAGAAGTAGATAACATCATTTATCACAAAGCAGAAAATAAAGTGGCTGACTTTATAGTGAGTCTTGATTACATACAAGGCTGTCTTGAATATAGGACATTGTTAAACCTTCCCTCTCTCAGGTTAATGGTAATGAATTAAAACTTTCTAGGATCAGTGTTCTTCTGGGTATAATAGAAGTAAGTGGGAATCCAACAGGGCTATAAAAGAGTTCCTGTAAATGAGATTTACCCCTATCATTCTGAAGATCAAAATCAAGAATTATTTGTTTAACTAGTTGAGCAGCTGTATTGGGATCAAGCAACTTTAAATATGGAGTAGATGTTGTATAGAAGGGCAACCTTAATTCCATAAGTAGCAGGAATCATGCAAAGAGTTCCCATATAGAGCAGCAGTTCATATAATTGACAGCACTATGTAGACTTTGGTACATGTGAAATATCAAATGAAAACCAAACATATTTTTTTTTGCTGTTCGTAGTTGGTAATGAGAATGCTGATAAAACAATAGAAACTCTAACTCAGAAATTAAAACATCAAGAAAATTTGCTTCATCAGTGTAAAGAAAGAATTAAATCTCAGAAGGAGTGCTTAGCACAGCTGACCAGTGAGAAAGAAGCACTGCAGGAACAACTATATGAGAGGCTTCAGGAGCTAAAGAAAATAAAGGTATTGGGAAAATAAAGGCTTCTCATGATATTAATTGTTATCTTATTACAAAAGATGCCAGAGATTATAATTCATTTTGATTAAACAGCATGACAACAAATTCTAAACATTAATAAAATGCAATATGCTAAAAGATAGAAATTCTATCATACTTGATAATGTTTATAAGGAAACTGGTTGTTAATATATTCAGATTAAACATAAATGTAGATTTTAGTAATTTAGGTTTTTTTAAAAAATATATTAGGATAAGGAAATCATACCAGGCATTTACAGAGTATTTTTATTGTTTATCATTTATGTAATATGCATATGTATGCAGAAGGGGAAAAAGTTTTGAAATATTTATTTTTTTATCATATTTATTTCAATTTCAAGACTGATTCCATAAGGACTCTAGATGGCCTGCAGATAAAATTAAAAGAAAAATAGAACATCCAGTATAAGGGAATATTTCTGGTCAGGGTTGAGATGTGGAATTCTTAGGTGCTCTCTGAGTGTAGTGATTTCCTTGCAGATGTTTCAACTAGGCTATTAGTTTCAATTATTAGAGGTAGTGAGTATACGGTTTGTTTGCATTCAATTTCTATTTCCATTGTTGGTCCTTTTTCAATTATTGATATATAATTCAAAGGGACATCAGTATTTGAAAAAATACCTTTCAGTACAAAATTAAAATACTGAAATAACCTCTGTACAAGAGAGCTCATAACACATGATGGCATTATTATATCATATTAATCAGTGTTGCTACATATCTTGGATTTAGCCGAAGTTCAGTAGTGGGTTTCAAAAAATTTTGGAACCTCTTTTGTAGGTGTCGTCTGCTTTGTGGGAGTGGCTTGCCAGCCATGTGACTGGGTGGGAGTGGCTTGTCGGCCATGTGACTGGGTGGGAGTGGCTTGCCGGCCATGTGACCGGGTGGGAGNTGCATGACCGCTGTCTCCACCTGCCCAGAGAAGGGGCGTATCAGGTAAGAACCAATGCCCCATTCTCCCACTGCAGACCTTCTCTTCCCTTTTCTCCTGAGGAAAGCATTTTCAGGTGTAGGATACCCTCCCCAATTCTAAAAATTGTGTGCAGAAAGCGCTGCCACCTAAAAGCTGTTTCCTCCATGATCCGGGAGTGCTCTGGGTGGGTTGCCCTTGGGGCCCTGGGAAAGCACACAGCAAGGAGTTGCCGCTTTGGGCCCTCCTGTAAGTCCCAGTCCAGAAAATGCTGCGGGCAGCAGAGCTTTTCTCTGCCACGCACAGCATTTAACCTATGGAAGTGAAGTCGGACCAAAAGCTAAATTTTGCTGTGCTGCAAAAGACGCTTTCCCATTTCCAGCAAGAGCAGCAGGGGAAAGAAGCAGCCAACAACCCAGATAGCACATGGAGCCACTCCATGTGTTCTCCAGTAATTTGTTTTCTCTCCACTGGTCTCTTGCTAGGAGAGAGAGAAAATCATTCGTAGCACTGCGCTTTGGGGACCCATCCGGAAAGCCAGGCACAGAAAAACAACTAGGTTGAAGGCTGGTACTTTCAGCACCCATGAGGAACCCAGGCTTGGAACAGTTTTGAGCTTATTAAAGAGGCCCACTCCTTGGCCCCAGCCATGCATTTTCAAGCCCAGGCTTCTTGGAGTGAAAAGCTATTGCAATAACCCAGGCTTGAAAATGTATGGCTGGAACCAAGGAGTGGCCCTCAGTTCCTTGTGGGCGCTGGCTTGCCTTCCCCTCTGCCACCAGCCGCGAGAGGAAGGTAAGGTCATGGTGGGGACGGTGGTGGTGGGGCTGCGGCAAGCTGGGATGCAGGCAGAGCAACCTGGAATGGAGCTGCACCAGGCTTTGTTGGCTTAGCCCAGTGGGGATGGGGAGAGGGGGCGCGGCAAGCTTGGCTGCAGACACCGCAGCCTAGAATGGAGCCGCACTGGGATGTCGTGGCTTAACCAGCCATGCGGAGGCTGGGGGGGTGGGGCGGCAAACTCAGGGGATGGGGAGCTAGCGCGACTTGCAGGCTTACCAGTAGGAAGGAGGAGGCAGCTAAGTTGGGGCTCAGGGCAGGAGAAGTGGAAAGGTAGCTTAGGCAGGCAAGCCATAGAGCAGACTGCACATGCATGAGTGCCACACAATGCGCTATGCCATCCCGGAGTGAGGAATGACTGGGTAGAGCAGGTGTGGGGGGGCAAGCAGATGGGGAGGTGAGTGGGCAGGCGAGCGAGCAGCAGAGGGCAGACAGAGGGCAGGCAAGCAGTAAACAGGCCAGGGGCAGGGCCAGCCAGAGGTCGTTTCCAGTTCAGCAAACCAGGCCAAATTCCCCCTAACAGTTCGCTGAACTGGTGCGAACTGGTTGTATACCAATGCTGGTTCTGTACCAATAAGTATATTGCATTAAAATCTCAACAAGCATCTAATATTTTGCATACATACATGCCAATGTGAACTACGGTGTCTTTTCCAAGACGTGTATGAACAGGATTGGGGTAAGGGATTTCTTTATTGTCATATTTAAACTGCTGCTTGCACAAGCTTTGTAAAATAAATTGTATGCTTCTCAGGCTATACCCAAAGTGGAGGCCTTTAATTCATTTCAATTAAATCTTTTAATAGATTGAAATATTTGGCTTTTTGTTTGCAGGTAATGTATTGCTTATTAATTTCATGCTATATTTTAGTATCAGCATTAACTTTTTATATGCTGAATTCTCTGCATTAGAAATATGCAATTGGTGTTCAATTATTTTCTTTGCATTTAAAATCTGTATTTTCTAAAACATCACAAAATATTTAGTGATCACAATTTTTTCTATATTTGGACAGGGTAGGTTGCTTGAAGATAGAATATGATTTATTGTTATCATTTATTAATTTATATGTTTGACCATATTACTATCAAAGCGACTGGAGGGGTTTCAGCAGAATAAAAGCCTGATTATAAAATCATGAAACCATTAAAAATGTTAAAAACATTAAAATGAACAAGGATTGGATAAAACTAGGAAGCAGTATTCAAACAGAATGGAGTTGGATCTTTTTTTCCACTAGCCACCTTCATCATGGTGACACACTTTGGGCCCAGTTCAAATGCTAGATCCACTTTTGAGACCCTTTCAATGCCAAGAGGGTGGGCGAGGACCTTATCTCCAGCGACTTAATGTTCCAGAGGTGAGAGCCATGGCAGCAAAAGCTCTTCTCTGGATTCTGACAGATGAACTTCCTTGACCAACAGGGTCTGCAGCTTGCCCCTTCTGGCAGAGTGAGTAGGATGGGCCAATCCCATTGGGGCGAGATGGTTCCTCAGATAGTTTGGTGACGTGCCATGAAAAGCTTTAACCAATACTCCCAGTGACCTAACAATCGGGGAGAAAAACTTAGGAAGCACTCGCCATAATGGATCAAGCAGTTGAATATGGCGGTGAGAAGTTTATACTTTAAGACTTGCAAGATTCTATTAATGTAGCCTCACCATGAAGTTGATTTAGTTTATGCAGTCATATTTCCTGTCTGTCTAGTTTATATGAGTGCTGACATCAGCCTTGCAAGACTGAGAGCACCAATTTCCAACACTCCGTTCTCAACTGCTTACTCCATTAGGGCAGGTTTTTCCTAAGTTCCTTTTCCTGACTTCCAAGCCGCTATGAATTCCTGCCTCTTGTATGATTGTTTCCTAGGCAGTATCTCTTCCCATTTCCAAAACCACGCATTCTGTTACAATAATTTCAGCACTGAAGTGAACGTATTTCATATGTGATATGGTAGTTAGTGTACCTAGACTTAATATAGGCTCACTTTAGCTATTTGTAGATACTAGGCTTAATGTTTGGTTGAATTGCTTAAGGAATTTAAATTTTGGGAGTTACAAAGACCACCAACTTGCAGAAAAAGATCTAGATAGAAACAATGCCCATGTTCTCCTGTGTGCTGCTCTGGGAATCCAATCATGGGTTAACTTTGTCCATTAGCCTAGAGACTGAGTATGTAAATTTTGACCACGCCTCCTCTGACTGGACCGGGCCTTTTTTTTACTCAGTCCAGCCTAACAAGATGCATCTCAATTTTCTCTCTAGACTCATCGACAAATTTAATCTTCTAATTGGATTCCACAGTTACTCATTGCTATTTGAAGTGCTTTATTCCATACAGAGGTGGAGGCGGCACTTCGCTGCCAGCCCAGACCCTCCCAGCCGTTGGTTACCTTGCTGGAGATTGGAGACTGCTTGGTCCGTTGGCTCGTAAGCCAGGACAGCGGGGTCGTTCCATGAGCAAGATTCGGAGCCCTTTCCTTTCCCTCGCTGGCTGTTGGGCGCATTCTGGGCTGGTGCGCCGCCCTGCACAATTCTTTCGCGCCGGGAGCAACCTGCTTAGGCAGCACGGTTCACCCAGGCTTCTTTCCTTTGCTCTGCCTCGTTTCCTCAGAGGATCTACGACCAGCTGAGCCACAGGGCTCGTGGCTTGCAGGATCCTGGGCGATCGGTCAGTTCCTTGCAGATTTGAAATTCGCGCCCTCCAGGACGGTCGCCATTTTGGACCGGGCTCTGCGCATGCGCAGCAATTGCCCGGGGGAGGCGGGGCCACGTATTTCGCGCCCAGGCATTGGCGCCGCCCCGACGGCCTCCTCTTTCCCTCACTTGCGACTTGCTGAGTCAGTGAGGAGGTTGTTTTCTGTGCAATCGCTGTTCTCACATGGCGCCTTGTATGGTGGAGCAGTTTTTTTCGGTGTTTCATTCTATACACAAGGTTGAGCCTTTCCAAATATCTCTTCTATTTACAATGGCAGATCAATCGGTGCCCAGAGGTACTGTAGAGCCTGTTTCTGAGCCCTGTTCCCCTGGCGAGGGGACGGCGAGCCCAAGGCCCAGCAGGGCCGCTACTAGGGCTTCCAGCCATAGGCCTCGGGCCTCCTCCGCTGTTAGGGATAAATCCCATAAGCGCAAGGACAAAACTAAGGTGCCAGCTAAGGCATCTGGAGCGCCTAGTAATTCTCCCCCGGTACTGATTCCGCAGTGTGTTTCCCCAGCGCGGCCTACAGTGCAGG